TGGAAACAACAGTCCAATGATGTCTGGAGGACTATCTTTATCCACCTGCACTAATGTATCTTAGATGCTACAGAAAATATATGGAAAAGGCTATGACGCAGTGGGAAACCACACAATTTGAATTCAGACAATCCTGGTTGCACTCCCTGGTCAAGCTAAAAGAGGCTGCTTTCTAAAACCTCACCAAAATTGTGCCAATCCTTGTTGATCTGGATGGGGAAGGTGCAGGTGGTATGCCACATCCAGTTTTTGAGTCTCCTAAATTGTGTATCTTTTTACTCAAAATGTTCCTGCATCCTCTGGTGGGGGCAATTTTGCCATATTTTGGTTTCTCTTTGTGTTCTTTTACTCCCATAAGAGGCCTTTTTATAATCTGAGAATACACCAGAAGTGATAGAAGACAAGACAGGATGAAAAAGTTCTGAAACAATTTTCCTGAAGGGATTACCTATTCGGCATTAACAGAAGAGAAGAAGAAAATGCTAATATGGTTCCCCAACAACAACCTGACTGAGTCTGGATCCTATAAGATGTTTGTTGCATTATTCATCACTTCCATGTGCTATTTTGAAAGTCATTTAAATATATTTCAATATAGTGAGTTGTGTTAGAGGTTGAAAAGCATGCTCCCAAAGTGATTTTAGAAGAATCAGAAATACAATGGATATTTTAATGTGTTGTCAAAGGCTTTCATGGCTGGAATCACTGGGTTACTGTGAGTTTTCCAGGCTGTATAGCATTTTTCCAGAACCATTCTATCCTGATGTTTCACCCACATCTATGGCAGGCACCCTCAGAGGTTGAGGGGTCTTTTGGAAACTAGGCAAGTGAGGTTTATATATCTACGGAATTCCAGGGAGGGAGAAAGAACTTTTGTTTGCTTGAGACAAGTCAGAAAGTTGCAAATGGCCACCATGATTAGCATTTAATGGCCTTGCCACTTCAAAGGATGGCTTGTTGCTGTCTGAAGGAATCCTTTGTTGGGAGGTGATTAGCTGGCTCTGATTGATTCTTGTCTGGAATTCTCCTGCTTTTTTGAGTGTTGCTCTTTACTTACAGTCCAGATTTTAGAGTAGCCAAATTTTCTTCAAAGCAAACAGCCAGGTTTTGAAGTTGCAAGGCCATTAAATGCTAATCAAGGTGACCATTTGCAATATTCACACTTGCCTCAAAGAAACAAGAGTTATTTCTCCCACCCTGAATATTCCACAGATATATAAACCCCACTTGCCTTGTTTCCAACAAACCTCACAACCTCTGAGGATGCCTGCCATAGATGTGGGTGAAACATGAGAAGAGAATGCATCTGGAACATGGTCACACAGCCCAGAAAACACACAGCAGCCCTAGGGATAATTTGGTCCGTTCTGACATTGTCTCCTGTAGAAGTGTTGAAATCATTCGAGGACCCTTAAAATAAGGAGAACATTTGTGTTCCGACCCCTTTCACCACTTCAGGGGATGGGGCATTGCAATTAAATCATTGTTTTCTAATTATATCATTAAAGAGGACAGTATATGTCATCACATGCCCATCTGGTGTGTTTTATGATAGAAAAACTTTGAGAAGAGTAATGATTTGTGTATCTAAACATCTGTGGAAAACAAAAACAAATTAGTGACACCTCTCTCGTAAGCCTTTTTACAAGCACAAATACATTCACAGTCATTTAAAATTATTGTATGTAGATTAAGTAATTCCACACCAATACGCTTCTGATGACCATTCTTTTTCGTTCCTTCAAAGGGAGAGAGGATGGATTCACATTCCTCAAAGGGAGAGAGGATGGATTCACATATGAGACACATTCTCTATCTTGGGGCTAACTGTACAGTTAGATTATGTTTGTTACCTTTAAAGAAGACCTTGCACATGACAGCTGTTTCAGATAAACACCTTTAAATAAGTAACTTGTGTAATGGCTTCATGCTTCAGAAGGGAAGCTGCATAAATATATAAAGTTATCAGTGCAGAAGGCAAAAACCACCTGCTTGGGATTTATTCGGCAACAAAAAGTGCTGTTTCCTGAGGAGCAAGTGAGACATCAGATATGTTACTTTGAAATAAATTAGAATTCTCAACTATTTGGGAGTAAATATTCTGGAGAAGGAACATGATTGTATGTGTTATTATTGCAAAAGACAGAACACTCATTTTTCAAACTGTATAAATAAAGACCATATAGCTACAAGAAGTGATAAGAGTTGCATGCAGGTAGTATCGATTTGATATGATGTGGCTGTTGCATTTCCATGATGTAAGAGTATAAGCTTCTAGTGGAGGCATGTTTTCATGTTTTTGAACTGAAAACTTCTCCTTGTTACACTCACTAGTATATCTAATTTTATTTAGACAGACTGGCACCTGGAGAAGCTCATATACAAAATGGGGCATGAACTGGAAGCCAATTGTGCATCAGCCATTGCTGTCCAATGCATTAAATGTTAAGCCTCATCTGCGGAATTTCTGTTCATATTGCATGTAGCCTAGAATATTATGTCTGAATACTCATTCAGTACATAACATAAAATATTGGCTCCTTAACCTGAGGGTCATGAAATATGTTGGGGAACTTTTAAAGTAAAGAGTATAAACCTTATTATAAGAGCCTTAAAATTGTATTTTGGTAATTTATATTTTACTTGCATAAAGTAAAGAGGAACCTAAGGGGAACGATCTTTAGATGACCCTTTACAAGGTTATGACTATACTTAAAGTTTATGTATAATGTAGATATATGACTTCATTTTTTTGTTTTAAAATTATTGATATATACTTTGTTGTTGTTGTTGTTGTTGTCTTAAATGTGCTGTATCTAGCACAGAGCAAATGTGCTCTGCGTATTGTTGCTGCTCTTTGGTTGTTTACCTGACTGAGGTGCATCTACACTGCAGAATTAATGCAGTTTGATACCACTCTCACTGCATTGGCCCAATGCTATGGAAGTTGTACTTTGGTGGTTTCGGTACTCTTTGGCTGACCTACAACTCCCACGATTCCATAGCAGTATGCCATGGTAGTAAACATGGTGTCAAAGAGCATTAATGCCGTGATGTGAATGTACCCGTAGTACATAACAACTTCCTATGCTGCACAGAAGCTAAACTGCATGTGTTTAAGATAACTTCAGAACAGATTATTTCAATCGAATTCCCACTTATTGTGATTTCACTGCACCAGATTAACATGGCTGTTCTTATGGAAATTGCCAATAATGTGATGCTTCCATTTGGAACACCAGAGGAGCAGGCATAGGAATGAAGCCCTTCCAAGGTGGTAGAGGAATGATACTGAACTGCAGGTGTTGCTATTACTCCAAGGGTTTGTAAATGTAAGAGCAGTCAATGCACAGGTGTTGATTATATAGCACAGAAGGCCATCCACATGTTGCTTCCTCTTTGCATGCCCTAATTTGCAGTGCATTCCTGTTAATAAATTAGAATGGCTTCTGTAGGAGAGCAGATGGAGGAAAGCTGTTTCTTGATTGCTTTCATATTTGCGTAAGCAATACATCACCATAGCTCATTAATGTGGCTCCATGACAACTGTTCTGCATCGTTTTTCCTCAAATGTACTCTCTTATTTACTACTTGGGTCTTTTTTTGAACATCAGAGATTTCCTGTGGAAGAAAAATATTAGCTTCTCAACCTGTGGGTCATGTATTGCATGTAAGAACTTTTGAAGTTACAAACTTTATTTTAAAAGCCTTAAAATGGTATTTCCATAACTTTTATTTTATTTGCACAACCAAAGTAAAAAAGAACCTAAGCATAACCATCTTGTATCAGCTTTACGCAACCTTAGGTTTTCCAAGTGTGAGGATTCAGAAGTGTTATGATCCACCTCAGAAGATATTAAGATATGAGATAAGATCCTGAAGTATCAAGCTATAGCATTGAATATTAAAGTTAGGATGGTCCATACCATTGTATTTCCCATTTCTATGTGTAGTTATGAAAGCTGGACAGTGAAGAAGCTGATAGGGAGAAAATCTACTCATTTGAATTGTGTTGCTGGAGGAGAGTTCCATGGATATTGTAGACTGCAAAAAGACAAATAGATGGCTCCTAGGATAAATCAAGCACGAACTCCCTCTAGAAGTGAAGATGACTTAAACTATCATTCCTAGGCCGTATCAAGAGAAGACGTGACTCAAAATAAAATATATTAATGCTTGGTAAAGTAGAAAGCAGTAGGAAATTAAGAAGACCGCATTCCAGATGGATGGACTCAAACAAAGAAGCAACAGCTCTAAGGTTGCATAGCCTGAGCAAGGCTGTAGATAACAGGTTTACTTGAAAATCTGTGATTTATGAGGTCACATAAGTCAAAGTAGACTTGATAGCAGTTAACAATAACTCCAAAGTTGTTATTGTTGAGATGTCTGCACAGCACCCTTTCTGTTTATTAACCATGTGTGTGAATGGTTAGACTAGGATATATGTCCAACATGTCTGGTGGGTATCAGGTTGAAAAACGCTGCCTGTGCTTCTTCAGGTATGAACAAAAGTAGGAGGAACTTGCATATATTAATTAATTACGAATAATCATCTCTGTAAAATCAGAGAATATTTAGTTTGCCAAATATGCTACTGTTTTAGCAATTATGATCAAAAATACAACTGAATGCAGAGATGTGGAAATGAGAGTTTGGCTTCACTGTAGCCTGCATGTTTGCATCTTGGTTAGAATACATGCTACAACACTGTGAAAAAGTCTGTGTATTTATTATGATGAATAATTCTTGTGGCATACACTTCGAAGTGCTTTTAACTCATGGGGGCAAATTCATCTAATCTTTACAACTGCAATAAAGTAAGAGAGGAAAATAAAATCAGAACTGATAGGTGTTTCTCCAGAATTCATCCAGCAGACTTCATAGGTTAGTCAGAGATTTACTCTTATGTGTCGTGAGTGTCAGGGCAACACATATATACATTGCTTCATCCTGACCTCAGTTATTCAACAATGGCCCTTTCTGCTATTTTTTTATAACAGATGCAGATTTATTTCTACAATCCTGATGACTTTGACAGCTTTGGATCAGCTGTCCAAGAGAAAAGAATAATAGGAGCGATGGCTGTATTTTTTCAGGTAAGCTTCAGAGTGACCCCAAGTCCTAAAGCCAAGACGTGACAAAGCCTCCAACCCATTCTGTTTTTCCTTCCTCTTGTTGTTGTTGTTGCTCATTGAATTGTTTCTAGCTTAATGGACACATCTGTTTTCTCATTCACACCTGTCTAAATGAAGGATATTTTATATTGTCTGCTGTGTGATTTAAAATGTAAATAAGTGTGTTTAGAAACATAATGGAAATCTTTGCATGAATTATTCTGATTTTTATAGCTGCCTGACTGCTGCACAGATTGGAGAACACATTTATTATAGAACTTACCTTGCTGTTGAAGCAGGTTGCTCAGGTTCTCGGAATATTAACGGGTTGGTTTGGCTGGAGGAAAACTTTAAATTCAGATGCAACTTGCCAACATATTAATCAATGTCGTCAGTCAGTTTCCTTGTCCTTCTTCCTCCCCTCTCCTCCCCTCCCCCATATAGTGGCATCTTATTATAAATTGTCATGGTAACTAAATTTCTCAAGGAAACCGGTTTTTCCAAGTCAGTGGATTTATGGAGCCCCTTCTACCGAAATGCTTTTTCCCAGGATGTGAATGTTCAGTTAGCTCATTTGCAGGTTCAGCTCACCTGAGAGCTGGTGGTACTTTGCAAGGGCCACTGCTTATGATGGCTGACAGGTCAAGTCAAATTGGAGTGGTGTTCAACTCCTTTGTCTCATTATATTGGAGAAATGGTTTTCCTTTTCTGAGTAGAGGATAAATTGAGGTGAAAGTGATGGTCCAGCCGTATTCGAGCAGGCTGTCACAAGTTCATCTGCACATAAGCTATGCCTTTCAGGGTAACAAGTCTCAAAGGAGACTCCGACATTGGGAGTGGGAGATACCTACCTTGTCTGTATTTTTGTTTTGGAAAAAACCTCTTTATATTCTACACTACCTTGGCTACTTAATTTGTTAAAACATATATAAAAACACTAATATGCAGTAGACTTAAAAAAATGATAACATTGCAAAAAAAAATCATGTGATTAGAGTCTAAGGCACAATAGTCTCTTAGATGCAGGTCTTCAACAAGAAATGCAAACACTTTCTTTTCAGGGCCAAAGTGCACATTGAGTCAGCGGCATAGTTCAGCCCTCAAGTGCAGGGTTTTGTGTTTATCTTTCTGTTTTTCAGTTTTCCTTCAAGGGGATTGAAGGACATGAACTATTTGTCCCCACTAAAGTCCCTGCCAGAAATGACTCCCTCATTCTGGGAATGTGGGAAATGAACACCCAACAATATTTGGGTCCTTTCATGCGACATATGTGTAGCACTTTGATTTGATTTCAATGGCGTTCTATGAAATCCCGGGATTTGGAATTTAGGGAGAAATATTTAGAAATCCCAGCTAGAGAGCTCTTTAAATTCCATGTTTTTAGTTTGTTTGTTTGTTTTTTGGTGTCGGGAGCAACTTGAAAAACTGCAAGTCGCTTCTGGTGTGAGAGAATTGGCCGTCTGCAAGGATGTTGCCCAGGGGACGCCCACATGATTTGATGTTTTCATCATCTTTGTGGGAGGCTTCTCTCGTGTCCTTTTTTTGAAGCAGAGGCTTGATAGCCGTATGTCAGGAATATTTTGATTCTGTATTCCTTCATGGCAAGAGTTTGACAAGAGTTTGGACTAGATGGCTTTGGTAGTTTCTTCTATGAACTCTATATGGTTTTATGAATTCCTTTGTTTAAGGCATGAACTAAACAGCAAAGGCAATGTGAAGTGGTAGTACCTAAATCTTCCATTGTTAGAAGCTGCAACAGCATTCTTACACTATTTTTGTTAACCCTATACAGTTCTCTTTTACATCAACTACATAGCTGGGGGGAAAAAAGAAGGCAAATTCTGTCTGATCATTCTCTGGGATGAAGGACTCATGCTCTACGTGGGGTTACTTTTCAAGACTGTTTGGAAGGTACAATTGGTTCAACAGGTGGCAGCCAGGCTGTACACCAGAGCGTCATAGAGGGTGCGTACTCCCCTCCGTTGCGTCAGCCCCACTGGCTGCCAATGTGCTACCAAACACAATTCAAAGTGCTGTTTTTTGCCTATAAAGCCCTAAATGGTTCTGGCCCAGCCTACCTGTCTGAACGTATTGTCCCTATGAACCATCACGGGGATTAAGATCACCTGAGGAGGTCCTGCTCTCAGTCCCACTTTCTTCGCAAGCGTGGTTGGTGGGGATGAGAGACAGTGCCTTCTCAGTGGTGGCCCCTCAGTTGTGGAACTCCCTCCCTAGCAATATCAGGACAGTCCCCTAGAAAGAACGTCAAAACCTGGCTCTGGGAGCAGGCATTTGAAAAATAGAGCAGTGTAGGAATGTTAGTATGGAATATGTGCAATGTGACTATGGATTGGCCTTTAGACTATGACTCTGGATGACGTGATTCATTGAAATGCATTTTATTTTGCTTATTATGTTTTAATGTTTGACTTATGTTTTAACTGATGTGGTGTATTTTAATTATTGATGTGGTGCACCATGGAGGTGCGATTGTGAGCCAACTTGAGTTCCCCTCGGGGTAGAGAAAGGCGGGATATAAATAAGGTAAATCTATATAAACAAAAATGTAATGTTCGTTTGTGGGATTAACATAACTCAAAAAACACTAGACAAATTGACACCAAATTTGGACACAATATACATATCAGACCAATGAGTGACCATCACTCATAAAAACCCTGGAAAACACAGCAGAAGAGACTTCAAAAGCCAAAAAAATAAAAAAAAATACAATGCATGCGGAAAACCACTTATATACACATACATACACACACAAAACATATATACACAGACTGGGCCACAGCAACGCTTGGCAGGGGACGACTAGTAAATAAATAAAGTGGAAAAACCATGAATAATTTTTTAAAAAAATAATCCAAGGAACACACCTCTCTGCAAATGTCTAGATCCTCCGGTACGACTCTGCTCTACTTCCAGTAGAAATAGACCATAGAGTCTCACTGGAGGACCTAAACAGACCATATTAATCAAATCGGCAACTAATCAGATCCCCAAAAGCTAAAACCACAAACATAGAAGGTTGACTGTATCCTGAAGGATGCTGAATCTGACTGCTTTTCTTTGTGGCACTCCAACCATGGCTTTTGCTCACCCCGCCACTACCGTGCTTTCCTCCACTTCTACCAGGCTTAACACTGCCACCATTAACACACAGCAGGATCTCTTCCTATAAGACATGCTGCTATTTTTGTACTCATACATGCTTTCATTAACTGGAAGCAAAACCTAATCAATATTAAAAATTCTGTTTACTGTGACTTTCTGTTAATTTCAACCAGATTCCAGTAAAAATAAACCACTTGACATTAAACAGAGTGTTTTAACAACTAGGAAGATAATGCACTGAATTAATTTGGTCACAGAAACAAGAAACGATGAAAACATTGTTTTGTGTGAAGTCTGCACTCATGCAATATGTGTATTTATAATGTAGCCAAAGAGCATGTAGCAGCAAATATTTTAATGAAGTGAGTTTTTGGAAGCCAAATACTAAGAAGGTGCACTTAGTACTACATAGATAATCTACAAAGGGTCATATTATTATCTTTCACCATACGGTCACCTGATGTTCATTTTTGTATATATTTTCCCCAGATACATGTTCTTTTCTTTAAAATACCACACATGCTATAATGGCAGCACTGCATTTACATTTCTCTTCACTTAAGTGATTGAAATCCATATTTAGTTAGTGAGGTTCAATTTAACTGATCCTGAAGCACCAGATCTCATCTGTTCTTGGGGTAGCCCTGGTTTGCTTGTTTATTTACTTTAGTCATTCCCCATTCTTCTCACCCCAAAGAGGACTCAGAACAGCTTACAGATTATGGCAATATTAAATGCCACATTATACATACAAATAACAAATAAACATCTAAAACAGTTAAAACAAATTAAAACATAGGGCTGAGTCCCATAGTCGTTGTTCAAGCTGTGTCATTCAAGTTGGATTCCATATTACACTACTCCCCGAATGCCTGTGTGCAAAGCCTTTTTCCTGAGGACCAAGAAGGAAGGGACCAATCTGATCTCACCAGGGACGGAGTTCCATAGCTGAAGGGCCACCACTGAGAAGGTCCTATCTCTCGTTCCCATCAGTCACACTTGCAAAGGGGGTGGAACTGAGAGCAATTATGTACCAACATAATTTAAGTGCTAAGGTTCTAACCGGTTCATAAAGGGAGATATGTTTGGATAGGTAAGTTGGTCCAGAACTATTTAGGGCTTTACAGGCAAAAGCTAGCACTACGAATTGAGCCCTGTAGCAAACTGGCAGCCAGTGAAGCTGACGTAATTTGGGGGGGGGGGGGGGGGGGGGGGGGGGGGGTGTACGCTCCCTGTACGCCACTCCATTGAGAAATCTGGTTGCTGCCCATTGGACTACTTGGAGCTTCCGGACAGTCTTCAAAGGCAGCCCCACGTACAGCATGTTGCAGTAGTCTATTCAAGATGTAACAAGAGTGTGGACCATGGGCAAGTCTGGCTTCTCAACAAGAGTGTGGACCACCATGGCCAAGTCTGGCTTCTCAGGGTTAGTCCTTGGACGGAGGGCCTCCAATGAATACCAGGCACTATAGACTGTAGTACAAAGGAAGCAAATGGTGAAACCATCTCGGAGTATTCCTTGCCGAAGAAAACCCTATGAAATTCATGGGGTCAACCGGAAGTCAACAGATGACTTGAAGACATACAGTATATTCTGGCGTATAAGACTACTTTTTAACCCAAGAAAATCTTCTCAAAAGTCAGGGGTCGTCTTATACGCGGCTGTAGTCTTATGCATGGGAGTCGTCTTAACTCTATATTTTAACTGGAAAAGTTGGGGGTCGTCTTATACACCCAGTCGTCTTATATGCCGGAATATACGGTATATACAGAAACATATAAGAGTAATAATTAAAGTTAGTCAGTGCTGCTTTTCTTCAGGGAGTGCTTATCTCAAAAGTAATTTCCCAGGTTCT